AGGAAAGTTCACTTCGGCCACGGGGTTCCTGGGTAATTTTGAGTTAAATTTATTTAGGTCGTTGCTAGCTTATACGTTGCATTCACCGAGAAACCGAAATCAAGAGACGGACTGTTGGGGGACCTGTTGCAGTCGAATGCAGCGCCGTCATGTGCGACGCACTTTAGTGGGTGCGGTCGCAAGGCATTCGCTAAGGGCGGGCCGAGTGAGTGGGCCTAATGCAGGTCTCTAAGGGATAGTCTAAGGTCATTCCGCTCAGATTCCTACAAAAAATAGCTACGGAAGCACGGCGCCTGCGAGACTCGGGGTAGGCCACCCCGCAGTGCACGCATGCGCCACTGACAGAATGTTGCCTACCCATCAGGCGCTACGGGAGCTGAGCTTGCATTGGCTGACCGAGAGCGAGAGAGGGGGGGAGGGGGGGGGGTGGCATCAGGGAGTGCAAATTATTTGACCACGCTCCCCTCACCATCTCTCTCTCTCTCTCTCTCTCTCTCTCTCTCTCTCTCTCTCTCTCTCTCTCCTCTGCTTTTTTAACCCGTTTACGGAAATACCGAGAGGAGTAGGCGCGCGACAACTCGTCATCAGGCCTCTGACTAAGTAGGGTATGTAGCGAGGAGGACACGGGGACAAAAACCAATACGGTTAAAGTAACAACAAACGTGCGAGACGAAAACAAAATTAAAATAAGCGCTCCGCGTAAAAATAAAAACCAAATTGATACGGCGTCGTCGTGACGAGCAGAAGCGGCAGCAGCAACGCCGCCCGCGGGCGGAGCGACGCCGCATACAGTAACGTTTAACGAGGCTGTTTACTTAATCTCAATTTGAGAAGCGACGCGCGCCAAATTAAAAGCGGCAGCGGTAACGAATCCAGCCGAGTCACGCCGAGTTGACCTGTCAGGAGGGGGCGGCGGGGGGCAAGATAAATAAAGGGAAAAAAATTTAATGCTTTCAGCCACAAACGGCCGCGGCTATCTGCGGCATTATCACAAACGATACTACGAGTGAAAGGCGAGAAAAAAATGATAAAAGCAGCATGAATGGAATGAAGCGATGAAACCAGCAGTTTGAAGACAATAGGCGAACGCAAATTAGCGAAAGGTTATTCCCACGCCATTTCGTTTTGAGAAAAATGAATGCAAATGAAAGAACGGTTTGGTTTGTAAGTTACGATTGATACATGTAGGACAAAGACAAGCCATACTGATAGACCAAAGTGTAAATTCAAGTTCAATACTTGCATGTGCTCAACTCGGTAGTTGAGCAATCATATGTGTACAACTTCTCTGTTTAATAATTCCCAGACAGCGTTCAATTTAAGGAAGTGTTCAACAGAAGAGTTGCACACTTACATATACACAGCTGTCAAGTAAAACACTTGCAAGTGCACAGTTACGGAGTCGAATACTTAAGTAGCACACAGAAAAAAGTCACAAGGGTTTGTTTACTCGTTATAAAATCCGTCCAAAACGTGTTTTTGTGTCGCGTTTTCTGAACGCGTTTACACACTACCTACCTAGGTGGTGCGTAACAAATGCACGGGGCCATCGCGCTCCCCGCCCTGCGGTGCGGAGCTGCCATTGCATGTGGCCAGCACATCACAACACGGCCCCTCAAAACTTTTCTCATTTTGAATCCCTGGGGCGTGGCGGGGCGGGGCGGGTAAGGGAGGGACGAGGGACCCGAGGGTGAGCGGGCGGCGGCCGGGGTCGCAAGGGTCGCCGAGGGTCCAAGGCCTAAGGGTCACTCCGCCAAACCGCGAGCGAGCCTCTGAATAAACTATTAACACTGTTAGGCCGGGCAGGAAAACTTTATACTGTTGCTGAAAAGAACCCATACCTCCTCTCCCCTCAGCCTAAGCCATCACCTCAAACCCCACTCGGCAACCAGTCTATTTGCTTTCTTTGACCCTTTCAGCAGCGCCCCGCCACTCTGGATTAAAACAGTGAATTAAAATTTTAAAAGGCGTACATAGGCGGTTTGGCCGGCAAGGCAGCCGCGTGAAATGACGCGGAAAACATAAAGTTGCCAGCGTTTATGACAACACCTGCTGCAATTGTTTTGAAAATGGCATAACTTTGTTACATCGTACCAAAGACCGTAAAATTTCGCAAAAACTTAGGCTCGAAAGTAACGTTTCCTCTAAATGAAAAAGGGGGCATCATCGACGCGATGGTTTCGACAAAACATTTCTTGCAGTGTGCAACTGCAGTATCATATTACGTACCCCGTGGTCAACCCAGTGCTCGTCCCTGCTGATCAAAACTATGTGCGAGAGGGAGAGGGCGGAGGGAGAGAGGGAGGGATGGGGGGCTCGGCGCCGCAGCAGAGGAGCCGAAGGGTCGCGCGCCACAGCCGCAACCCCTTAGGCCCCTCCCTACATTAGCGTATCAGTTTGCAACACGCCACCGGGCGAATTATCCGCAAAGCGAATGTGAGTGTACTCGCACAGCAGCAGCAGCAGGATTAAATAACGCCCCACATGTTAATACGAGCCCGCCGACAGCAAATTACATCCATGTACCACTGCGGCACTTGTTTGTGCCTATAACTTTGTTTTGCATGAAAGAAAACAATGTTGACGCATACGGTTGGCACGTCAGGCAACAGACTCCCTCCTCTAGCTTGAGTAGCAGGAATTCACTGTAAAAACAATTATCGTCATTTTACGAAATTTTCTCGGTTAATTTTCTATTACTAAAAATTCGTTTTTAACAAATTACGATACGTCGTTATTTTACGAATTGCTTAGTAAAATCCAAAGCTCCATCTAGGCGGTATGAAAATTGTTATAATTTTCATCTAATTTATTGACGTTTAACCCCAAAATTTGCATTTGTTACGAAATATATTTGTAACTTTACAAAACGTCTCGTATAAACTGACACTTACGAAATATTTTCGTAAATTATTTTTTTACGAAGCATTTCGTAGAAATAAGGCAGAGAAAGAAAAATACTCTCACTCTTTTCTCTGATGTTCTTTGTTGTTTTAAATCAACACCAGACGCTATACTTACCCCGCGGACACTGACCTTCTCACGTTCATTATGATTCGACCGTCGTTGTACGCGATCGGGGTGGGTGCGGAGGTTGAAGGAGGAGGGGGTAG